AGTGGGCGCTGGGAGGGTCCCTGAGCTGGGAGAGGTGAGGGCAGTGGCGTCCCTGAGCTGGGAGAGATGAGGGCAGTGGGCGCTGGGAGGGTCCCTCAGGAGGGAGAGGTGAGGGCAGTGGGGACTGAGAGGGTCCTTGAGGTGGGAGAGGGGAGGGCAGTGGGCCCTGGGAGGGTCCCTCAGGAGGGAGAGGTGAGGGCAGTGGGCACTGGGAGGGTCCCTCAGGAGGGAGAGGTGAGGGCAGCGGGCACAGGAGGAGCTCAGGGCCCCCCCAGCCTGGCCTAGAGCATGGGCTCGGGTGAGATGGAGGCAAAGGGGGGTTGGTGGTGTCTGAGGTGCCCTGTGGGAGGGGGAAGCCAGGACGGTGGGTCTGTCCTACCCATGCAGCACAGTTCAGGAAGGTGGTGCAAGGCCACGAGCTGTGCCTGCCTGGCACTCCCTGACCTGCCCAGTGGCCACAAAGTGTGGGGCTGGTGGGGCAGCCACCTCCAGTGAGGGCTGCCCAGGGCTCAGCATTGGGTATCGGGAGCTTTTGCTGAGGTGTGAAATGTCTGGGAGAGTGAGCAGCAAGAGCCTTTCCTCCTTGCTTGTGACCCTTTCTGGCCTTGACTCATGGCTTTGTACTTCCTAAGTGGCAATACAGAGAGATCAAGGGAAGCTCTAGATACCTTGTAGTCTCTTTAGAGGTTGTCCCAGGTGATTCCATATCTTATTGAGAAGTCTGGTTGTTTGATTTTTTTTTTTGTTGATGGAATTTATTTCATTTGCTGTGGACTCTTTCCCAAACCTCCACTGTGTGCCCCTTCCTTTGTTTTCACTGTTTGAAATCACAGAGGACTATTTCTTGCTACTCGTTTTTTGAAAGTTTTGCCTGCAATGCTTCCTCCTTAGTTTGTAGTTCCGCTGCTCCATGTGAGCTTTTCCTAAACACACTAGAGGGAAAAGACTTAATTCCTGTCTGAATGACCGCTGTAGGAAATCTTGAGAGCACTAGATCTTCTGTCAGCCTCTGCAGTGACAAAAGTGTAAGTGGCTTCATGAAGGTAGATGAGTTCATGGGCTTCAGCTGGGTGGTTAAAATCAGCAACATGTATGTGATTCCTCAGGTGCTGGAAGGGGTATTCCAAGGGATCTGTCTCTGCTTAGCACAAAGATAAAAACCAGGTTTTGCCCCTGGCCTTCCGATGACATCCTGAGCTAAATGGTCTGTTCCACCCTAACCATCCCTGCAGCTCTGGGGGATTCCAGCTTCGTGCCATCTCAGTCGTTGGAGCCCAGCTCTTTCCTCAGAGGCAGCTTTATTCCTGGCTGCAGCTGCTGGGCGTAGAGGGTGTTCCTGGCACTCCTCTGATGAGCCTGCTTTGGCTCGGTAGTGTTTGGACATGAGAAAAGCAAATACTTGAGCCTCAAAATGAAATGTTGAAAGGACTGTAATAAGCCTCTTCATGTAATCTTCCCTTTGAAGGTGCGTTTTGGAGCAGGAGCAGCATGAGGATGCTCCGCTTCTGAAGTTCTAAAGCTCTGTAATGTTTAGGCTATTGAGGGACTTGCATTCCTGTTTGGATGTTACTCTGGCTCTTGCTGCAGTTTAGACTGTGGCTTTGTAGGGTTTTTCAGAAATGCCAGTGGGTTCTGCATTTTGGTTTTGGTGATTCTATTGCTGAGGTTTTTTTTCTCCTTGTCGGTCAGTAGTCAAACAAGTTATCTAAGCAATGAGGTTGGGTTTTTGGATTTCTTAATGTATGAGTAGCCCCCAAGTAGGTTACTGTGCATCTGGATTTTAACAGAATGCCTGTGTCAGGTGGGTGCAGATGGAATTCAGCTTTATGTTAATGCTACTGCTGATTCTGTCTTTCACTTTTCAGTCCTATAGATTATTTATAATAGCTTGGGAGCTGATATTTTTGTCTGCCACTTCCTCCTCTGAAAGACCTTCAGTACAGATGGCCTTAATATACGTACTGGGAGATATTTCAGTGGCAGAAGAGGGGTTGGTGTGGTGTAGGGTGCAACTTCCTAGTCTCGTATGGAAAACTGCATATTTCTCTTTGTTTAAAAACTTATGTACAAAATTCTTGGCCTGGGCACTTCTGTGCTTTACTGGCTGAGGTGCTGTGTGAGTCAAGTAAATGAGAACTAAAGGAAGATTCAGTTTTGTAGTGATACAGTGTGTAGGTACAACAGTAGGGCAGTTGCACTGAGTGAACAGAAATAAAACTGCCACAGCTGAAATGATATGGACTTGACTGTGTCAAAGAAATAGGACTGGCTGGTCTCCATCGTGGAATGTGGAAGAAGTTACCATGTGATGCCGAATGTCTGGTAACAGGGATTTTATTGAATCTGTTAAGTCAGGGCTAGTAACAAAATACAGAGAACAAGCTGAGTGTACAACAACATGCACTGAGCAAGGACTGAATTAACTGACCCATTAAAAACTGGGTAACGTTTTCATGTGGTTTGCTCCATGCCAGGTACCAGCCTTTTTCATAAGCCACCTCTCTGTAGAGAGATAAATTTCATTGTCTAATCTCTTGCATAAAGGATTTATTATGGAGTCATATGGAAGATTAATTACTGTGTCAAAGGGATCGAGGTTTATGCAAGTATTGCGAGATGGGTAACAAACTGGTGCAGGGGAGGGTGTTTGTACTGCAGGGAAAATTGAGTTGGAGGCAGGAGTCATGACACACTCATGGCTTCTCATCCATGACCTTGGCATAAAAAAAAGTAAGAGTATGTATGTGACATGTTTGTGGTGAAACCAACCTGGGAGCCACCAAACAATAACCTGGAAGAGGAAGGTGAGAAATGCATTGCACAAGATGAGCTCTAGAACTTTGTGCTTAAAATTTTGTAGCGGTGGACTGGAAGGGCGGGCATGTGCCTCCACAGGCAGAGCTTCTGTTGTGAAACGGGGTTCATCAGCTTGAAGAGAAAAACTAACGGGTGACTGGGTTAGTGCAGGGCCATGGCAAGTGGGAAACTTAGCTGTAAGAGATGCTTCTAGCACAGTTGGGTGGTGCTGGTGCCGTTATAGACAGTGTTTTGCAATGCTTTGCACAGCGAACAAGTGGAACAAAGAAAGGTGTTTTTAAGTAAAAAAAGGCATCACGGAGGAGGCGCTTCAGGCAGGCCCAGGAGATGATGGAGGTGGATGTGCTAAGGTGATGTGACACGGCTTAGTGAGTCTAAGCAGTGGGAATGCATTCAGAAAATAAGCTCCAGGGTTGAGGAGGAGGAATTATTGAATCTGGGGGATGATTTGGGCTTCCAAGACCCTGAGCAACTTTGCATCAGGTGCAGTGAGAATTAAAAACCTGGCTGGGCTGAAGGTAAAGCTTGAGGAACATAAGAAAGAAATTATTTTATGCCGATACCTCTTGTTTCAAGGTGTGCGAGGATCCAGGAAGTTCCTTCCAGTTCTGTGGTTTCTCTGTGGCAAAGTATTTGAATTAATTGAATCTAAACCCTTGTCTTACAGAGAAAGATGAAATTAATTGTGGAACTGATGGCTTATATCATGGCTTAATTTAAATCTTTCCCAAACAGAATCAAGTTCAAAGCACTGGAATTATTTTTTGAAGTTGTGATAAAGCTGTAAATAATTGAGTCAAGTCAGTTCAGCCGTGAAACTTCAGTTCTTTTACTTGCTTGGGATTTGTCTGGGGGCTGGCCTGAGCGCTGCTGTGTTGTGGGAATGAGGAAGTTGCTCGTGTGTTAAATGTAGTTCCTCACAGCTTGCTGATGGGACATGCTGCCTTCTTTCTCTGTGGCTCTGCTGTGCTTTCCTCATTTGCTGCCTCCTTTCTCCTGCTTTGTCTTTGCAGTGTCTCCTTCCAATTCCTGGAATGTTGCAGCTCCCCAGTGTAACTCGTCCCCCCTGTCTTGCTTACATGGTTTGTGTCGGTAGCTCTTCTTGTTTCTGCTTTTTAAAGAGAAGGCCTCAGTATGAAAAACTCCCCTGCACCAATAACCAGAGACCCTAAATTCAGCTGTTTTATTGATCTGAAGCTTGAGCTGAGATCTGTTCCTGATGCTGAAAACACTCTCTCTTGTCTCCCTAGGCTCAGTACTGCGGGTTGCTGTTCCGCCACGCGGGCTGGCCCCTGTGTATCCACGAGAAGATTGTGATCCAGCTGGCTTCCATTGACTGGCGAGTCTTGGAGCCTGGTGACTTCTACCTGCAGGTGGTCCCCCATGAGAAGAAGTCTCCACGAATTGTGTTGAAATGTTTGGCAAAAGACAAGCATAATGTAGAGGAAGTGGTGATTCCAGAAGTTTCATATACCTCTATTTTTACTCTGGAATGGCTGAGCACGTTCAATGGAGAGCGGATGGGTATAGCACTGGAAAATTGTTTACTAACCACTGATGATAAAATATTTCGTATCCCCTGGGATAAAGTGGTTAATCCTGAGTTTATAAACAAACCAAAAATAATTGAAAACAGTATCATCTCTCCAGAAATAACAGAGGAGCGTTCCATTTTGTGCCTCCCCGCTGAGCACAGTTCACCAGACCTGGGCTCTCAGTATCTACAGGAACAACATACAAATCGAGACAACCTGGTCATTAGCAGCACAGCTCCACAGTTAAGTGGGGCTCTTGTCAATGGTGTCTGTACGAGTCCTGTGCCTCAAGAGAACTTGACAAGTGACCTTGAAGGGGAGTACGTTGAGCTGGCAGAAGTTTCACTGCCCAGGTTTGGGTCACAAACAGGCTCTTTAACCCAATCGCTGGCTTTAAATTATCTAACTCAGCCCAGAGCACGAGTGAATGAGTCTAAAGGCAAGCACAGGTTTCTTGTCATACAAGACAGCACCTACTCCAAGAACTTAATTCAGTCAGCACTTATGCAGAAGGAGCACTGTCAAATGGACACTCTGAGCACTCCTAGAGAAGTTCTCAAAAATGTCATTCCGTTAGAAAGCAGCAAAATGATGGCACATGGAGAACTGTCTCCAGAAGGTCAGCTGATATCAGTTGGTCCTGGAAACATGGGGAATAATTTCCCTGTGTCTGAGTCTCGTGCTTGCAGCACAGAAGGCTCATCTGCAGAGCAGGAGACGGGCAGTGAACACTCGCTGGATTGGCGGTTTGCACTGTGCAGCTACAGCGACGCGTGTGCTGGGGATGGTGTCACCTGCAAAGCACAAATACCTGGTGCTCCGGGAAACACGGAGGGAGAAAGTGATGGACCCGGCAGAAATGCTGCTGTTGAAACATCTGAGCAGAGCCCAGAAACAATTCTGAATGATGCTGCTGCTGAAGAGGGTCAAAATGAACCGACAGAGGTGGACGCCTCTCCCGTGTGTGTCCCAGGGCCTTTGGGACCACGCTGCACACTGAAGGAAGGTTCTGATGTCTCGTGCCACAATGTCAGTGAAAGTGTTGTGCCAGTTCAGGCCACTGCATTGCCAGAGAGTTCAGATGTATGTGTGGAGAGAGGCTCTCCTTCAGAGAACGTGGCAGATGTAGGTTCTTGCTGCAGCGATGTGGAAGCAAATCTTAGTTCTCCATTAAATTCTCCAGAAAAGAAGCAAGGAGAAGTAGGTGAATTTGAAGTGGGAAGAAGGGATAGCCGAGAAGAAGTCAGAGAGATTAAAGAGGTGTTGACAGCAAATGAAAACCAGACTAGTCATAGTCACTGTTCTGTCAAAGCTTCTACAGATGAACCTCTGTCAGATGGTGAAAAGCAAGACCATAAGGAGGCTGAAGAATCCATACTGCTCCAAACTGCTCTGTCAGAGGGGGGTCAGATGACAGAAAAATTAAATAACAGTGACTCTTTGGGCCCTGATCCACAAACAGAAGACTCAAGTCAATTAAAAACCCAGAGTTCTGGAGAGAGGTCTGAGGAACCACAAAGACTGGTGGAAAACCAGGGCTGTGAAAGTGAAGAGAGCTCTGTGCTGAACACGGAGTGTGTTGCAGTACAGGACTCACCGGGAAGGGAGGAGAACCAGGGAAGTTTTTCTTATGGGGAAAAGTCAAAGATTATAGCCTCAAAAACACTGGAATCCATTGAAGAGGAACTGGAGGTTGGACCACTGTCCTCAGGACCTGCTGAGGGACATACAGAGCCCAGTGCTCTGCAGTCCCACCCAGAGGCAGCTTCTGGGACATCATCTCCTAAAGGTACAACTATTGGATGTTTGTTTGATAACATGGATTGATAGCAAAGTCCTCAAGGAGTACTGCTTTAGTACTACTTACCAAGCAGGATTTGATAAGTACATCTGCTGGGAGGCTTTGGGGTAATAGCACGGGGAAGTGATTAAATTGTCGTGTTTGTGGTGGGAAATTAGCTTTCTCTTCACAGGTGGGTTTATTGTGGTACTTTGTTTAATAATTCTTTGCAAATTTACAAAGTTCCAGTGTAAGAGACTTTTAATTTCAGTTGATCTGATTGCTGGTGACCTCTGCCTGTTACATTCATGATGTGCACACTATGGATGCACACAATAGCAATGTGTGAGGTGAGAATGTCTAACTGCACAAGTCTTTCGTAGTTGAAAACTGGCTTTAGAAAGATGGTTGTGGCAAGAGGAAGCAGCAGTGGATGCCCCAGCTGTGTAATATGACCTGAAGATCAGCTAATTTGTGTGCTGGTAACTGATTTAGGCAGCAAACTGCAGAGTTGAGGGATTCCCCCCTTCTTCCCTCCCTTCCCCTCCGGCGTGCTTTCTTCAGCTTGATTATATTTCAAGTAAGAGCTGTTTAACTGGAGTGGGAGATCAGAGGGAAATTAAGCACCTAACTTCAGCTCAGACCGAATGTTCAAGCAGGTATTTTCCCAGATTTCCTGATGCCTGTGCTCCTTCAGAAGGAGTTGAGGGGGCAATCCAGGTGTCTGCCTTTTGCACCAGACTGTAGCAGGCAGTGTGTAACCGCATGGACACGGTGTGGGCTCTGCCCGGCTCTGCTGAGTCTGGAAAGCTGCAGTGAGATATGCAGATCACCCCGAGGAGCGTGTGTGTGGCGGGGGCGGGCGAAACGTGCCATTCCAGTTCCACAGCTCTCATTCCCTGAGACCCCTGGCTAGGAAAATCATCCAGCTGGAAATGTTGGATTGAGGACTCTTGAAACGCTTGGTGGTACAGACCCACGCTGCTAGACCATGTCTGACCCCGTGGGCCAACAGATCCAGAGCTGGTTGTCTTGGGATGTGCTGCCAGTGTAATGCTTGCACTGTTCCCAAATTGTGTGGCCAAGAGCCTCCCTCAGTGCTGCAGCACAGCTCCATTTGGCTGCACACACAGCTGCTTTCTCAAGGGTCCAAAAGTCACGTTTTACCTGATATCTTAGCAACCTCCTAATGGAGCTAGATTAGTGTCCATTGATTAAAATAAAATTTCATTAACATCTGCACCAAAATAATTCCATAGTTAGGCAAGCCCATGGTTGCCAGGCTTTCTGGAGTGACGAGCATTTCTCTTCTGTGAAATGGAGGGGTCAGCTCAAAAGTTTCTATTTCTGAAGTGTCCGTCTCTGAGCATCTACCACCAAGACCAGAAAAAAAAGAGATCCCCTTCTGCCTATCTGAGGCTCTTGGGGGATGTATGCCAGGAAATAACCGTGCTGTGGGGATCCAGTCCTGACCAAGCTGAACCTGGCTTGACTTCATGTTTGCTCAGGACTGAGCCTCGGAAAACCGAGTCTATGTTGAGTGCTGGGTGGACACTTTGCTCATGATTCTGGTAGCTGCTTGTTCATTGTTCCCATCTCTTCTGTCTAAAATTAGCCAGGTCCAGCTCATTAGGAGATAAGTGTGATGTTCTCACTGCTTCAGAGAGTGAGTCTTGGCTGGTGCTGGAGGTTTCAGCTGTGTTGGACCCTTCTGGGGTATGTGTGGAGTTTGTTTTTAATGAAAGACAATATAAACGATTCTGGGGATTTGGCTGAAATAAGTGACATTCATGGCTCAAGTCTGTTGGTGTTAAACTTGGGCACTGCAGTTTAGAAAAAAACCTGCCCTGTTATCTCGGTGTTTTGTAAGGCAAAAGAAAACTTAAGTCACCAGGAAAACCACCCAAACTAAAGAAACAAACTCTTTAAGGCAAAGAGGAGCTCAAATATCTGTTAATGCTGGGAGTATGTTGAACACTGTAGCTGGCACTATAAAAAGCTTAATCCATTCAATTACCTTTGATTGCTTTGAGATCCAAACAAGCCATCCCCTTATCTAGCCCCATTAAACCCTCAGAGATATACTAATAAGATAATTCAGAGATAAAATTACAATGTGAAACAAATGTCCTACAAATGGACTTTTCTTTTCCAGCCAGTCAGTGTATAGATGAGTTTAATTCTCTGTAACTGTGTCTTGTTGGGGTCATTTTGCTACTATGATTGGAAACTGTGGGTATCTTGCCTAAACTATAAATAACAACAAAGCTTAAGCTCTACTGGGTCAATTCAGATCTGCAGTTCACACCTCGGCAGCAGTGGGCAGAGGCACAATTTGCTCTGTGTGAGGTGGAGGATCTTGCTTCTTACAGCAGATATTGCAGATTATGTCAAAGTACCCATGCAGAACTAGGGCATCTGAGTTTGCTGCGTCTGCTGTTTTCCTTGTCCCTTAACTCTCTCCCTTTCATTCCACTCCCAGTGGGCTTGTTTTCTGCACAAATATAGTCTTATGTAGAAAGGCTTAGATATAAATAAAATGAAGCCTAACTGAGAGTCAAATGTGAACTGTTTTGAGTTGGTGGCTTAAAATTCACACTGGTTCCATTCACAGATAATGTGACTGCTGGTTTTTTCCTAATGACTAACATCTAAGTGAAAGTGAATTTTGAAACTTTGCAGCTCTGGAAAGAATTCCTCTATTTCGTGGGTGGAAAGTATCTTGATATTCAAGAAACAGGCTGAAAAGCCACAGTGGGGCATATTCAGCAGCACCTGTTAGGGCGTTCCGTTCCCGCTCCCAGTTCCTGTGTGATGTTAGCACAGATGATCCTGGTGCCCGGGCAGTTTGCAGGAAAAATGCTAATGTCTCTTTGAAATGCACACAAGCAAATCCTCCTCTGCCACTTCCTTAACCTCGGGGAGAGGTGGAACCTGCAAACACGGCAAATTCAGCTGTCCCTGTTCTCAATTTGCTTTCAGATGTAATCCTCCGCCTTCTCCAATTTCCGCTTCAGTGAAGTGCCTCCGCCCCGGCTTGCAAATAACAAACAGTGTGCTGAGGCCTCTTCCAAAGAGGTGGCGTCTGCAGATCTGAGCTGGGCCCCAGCAGCTTAGGGAAGAGGTTCAGCTGGGCAAGATGTGCACAATTTGGAGGCTGCACAGCTCCAGTGAGGTTTCCCTAGGGCTGTCCCGGTACCAGGACTGTGCGTGGTGGGCTGAGCAAAATGCTCTTCTCTTCTAGCTTTTGGGAGCTGCTGCCTCATTCCAAAGAGATATCCAAGGCAGGGTTGTCATGTACATTTGTGGAATATACATGGATGTATATGTGGAACATCACTATCTATATTCCCTTTCTTGTCCTCTTTAAATGCCACCTTTTGATCCTCTTTGCAGGCTTTTTGTCGTTTAATACAGATTCTTTTACTACAAGCTGTGTGGTTCTGCTTGTTGCCAGGCCTTACAGCTCCTTGCTAAGGTGATTCTATGTTCTCCTAGAAAATCTATCAGCCTATAATGTGAAAGCTTTGGGCATGACTTACATGACTCTGTGATGCTCAGGAAACCTTGTCTGTGGGAGATCAGTGCCCCTCTAAAATGCTGCTTTGGGAAGATCTGCAGCATTGTCTCGAGTGAGTGACCTCTTGCACCACTGGGAAGTGGAGGCTGAGGTAGCCCTTGGGACACTGGAGCTCTGGTGTGGCCCAGAACTGGGCAGAGCCCTGAGGCCATCCTAGCAGCTTAGTGGCCAAATGCAGCAGATGCCAAACTCGGTGCCAGGGATGCTCCTCAAGAGGGGTGTTACAGAGAGGAACGAGCAGCTACTCCATCATGGCCTTGATGGTGCAGAGCCCTGAGCCCCTCCCAGTTTCCCCCCACTGTGGGGTGGATGAGCCACGCTGCTCAGGGCACTTCTCTCACCCACTCTAGCAATTTTGAAAGCAGTTCAGGCTAAGCCTCAACCTGTAAATCTCCTTCACTGCTAAAACTTGTATTGAAAGCCACTTCAAGGACTGCTTTGTTCCTGGTCCTGCTCTTTAATGAAGTATTGGAATCTGTTAGTAAATAAACTGAGTCAAGTGGCAGCATTGTTGATGCAGCAGGAAGGTAGGATGGTTGAAGTCAATTTTAAATGGCAATTAAAATGTCTGACTTCATAGCAAGCAAATAAATACTCCACTCTTATTTTCCTGAAGAAAGGTTGATATTTGTGTTAGTAGATACTGAAGTATCAGTGCAGTATAGCCTTTTCTTTATTACAGCTTTCTGCAAACACTGGGATAGCCAAGCTGGGTACTTGGGATGCTAAAGATGTATTATTGAAGGCACACTGTTGGCTTCTAATTCTTGTGGTGTTCAGAAATGGGGAATAATACTTCTTACACAGAGGGTAGATACTTTTTTCTTCTGTCCAGATAATTTTGCATGAAAATTAAAACGTGATAAAACCAGCCTTAGTTTCCGTGTAGTAGCCAGAATATTTAATTTTAGAATTAACCTGTTCTGATAACTTGTACTTTAGAGCTGAGATGTCAGACAAAGGAAACATTCTCTGTAGTTCTCAAGCAGGAGCTGATTGGTGTAATCATCCTGTTCCTCAGTGCTTTAAAATAGGTTTCTGACTTTCACATTAACTGTTAATTAAAAAAGTCTGGACGAGCAGAACAAGGTCTCTTTGGCTAATTTCCAGCTGATTTGTCAGCCTCAGGTTGACTTCATATTTTCAGGAACTAATCTGAAAGTGGTGTTGGGGGAGTAATTGTGCTGTGATGGAGTTGCCCTCCCTGTCAGAAGCTGGTTTATCACTTCAGCAGGCTCGGGCTGCTGGAGCTCAGCCAGGGACTTGCACCGTGCCAGACTTCCAGGCTGTGAGCAGACATGTACTGCTTGATATGTTACCTTTAAAAATGGCTTTGACTACAGTAATCCTGATCTGAATCGAGCTTTTGTACTTCGCAAACTTCACAATAACTTGGTTTATTTTGTTAGAATTACAGCAGTATTGATGCTATAACCAGTTTTGGAACATGCCTGTGGCTGGCACGAGGACTGAAGGAGCTGCAGAGTGCTGGGGCTGGGGGCACGTCCCTCCCCCATCTCCTACTTTCATGGGACCTTTTGGGTGGAGCTCTGCTTGAACTTCTGTTTGCTGCTTGTCTTACAGGGATGGTGTCAGAAGGGACAGAGCTGAGAAAAGAAGCAGCTGGCACAGATGTGTTGAAACCAGTGAGTAAAGTCAGCACCCCGGAGGAAACTTCGACACCAATCACTCCCCCGACATCCCCAACTTCTGGAACTGCCTGGGGTGGTCACTTTGCACCTACCATAGTCAAGGATGTGAACCCAGAAGTGCTCAGGAGCGGAGTTGCCTACCTGCCTGGTGAGTAGCTGGGCCAGAATGCTGGGAGATGTGGCTTGGAGGAGGGTAAGGGAGATGAGCCTCCGTTTGCAGCGCTGGAGACGTGGTGCCAGTTCCATTTCTTTCACCTCAAATCTCTCCAGAAGCAACACTTCTTGAATCCTCTAAAATTTCTGAATGGGCAGGACAGGAAGTGGAACTTCCCTCCCATGAAAGTAATGTTAATTTGCTCCCAGGAGTCTCAGAAAGTTAACCAAGCACATATGAGTCAGAAATGCCAAATCTGTGGGCTCATACCAGGAGTTCAAAAAGAGAAGAGTGAGGGTGCACCTAATAATGGGCTGGTGGGCCTGACATCAGACCTGGTCAGAACAATAGGAACTTGATTCTCTTGGGAGATAATTAAAGGAGAGGTGTGTAGAAGATGCTGTGTGACAGGGCTCTTGAAAACCAGTTTTATTCTTGGTAATTAGAAGTTTGGTTGATTAAATGTAGCTACCTAGATATAATAGATTTTTAGAAAACATTTGTTTTCATGACACATAGTGTTGAAAGGAATATCCCAGTGGAGTGTGGGTGAGCAGTGTGTGGGATGAACGACAGTGTAGCTAAATAGCAGATGACAAAAGCAGCTATCGAGGGAGGACTCCCCAGAATTGTTCTGCCAAGATCAAGTTGTAGGTCAAACGTTATTCAGTGTTTGCATCTGTTACAGCAGCAAGTATCAAATGGCTGCAGATAAAACTTCTGCATGGGACAAGTATTGACAGAGGGGTGAACAAAGCTGAGGCTGTTGGACAGAGCAGCCAGGATCACTTGGTGTGCAGGGCCCACACAGGACGTCTTTGTGTTTAACCAAACATGAAGTAAAGCAGAGGGAGTGAGATCTACCTCTCCAGTGAGAAACAGCATTTGGCAGCATCTGTGTAAGGAGCCCCTGTGGGCTTGTGTCCTTCCACAGCCAGTGAGAGGATTGTCCACTGTGGAGCAGGAAAATAACCTGCATTTGATCAGCTCAGGAGCCACGTGTGAGTTGGGCAGAGAGCAGAGCAGAGGTCAGGCAGACCTGTGCAAGGTGAAGGAGCTGGGAAGGAGAGCAGAAAGGCAGCACAGGGATCTCCCACTCGGTGTTAAGGCTGCAAGACCAATTTTGACCTCAGATGTGTGAAGGGAAGGGGATGACTAAACAGATTTATAGAGTGATTTTTAGCTCTGTGTTCTTGAGATGCCTCTCCAATATAGTCATCTCTGCTGCTGTGGGCAATCCTCACACCTAAGGGAACACACTCACCACTCAGTTTAATGTTTTATGTTAGTCATTGGTAATGATACAATAATTACATCAGAAAGAGTAACTTTTATAATGAATAGTGAACAAGAGCTAATTAATAAACTAGTAGCTGATGGAGTTAGCTGAAACTTTCAGGATGGTTTCAATTCTGCATTCTGCTCCTGAATGATCTTGGTTATGCCACTGTTGGAGACCTAGCCCTGGTGGCTGTGGTTGCTTTTTTGACCTGCTCAGGCAATTCCCAGACTACTACGTGGGAATTCAAGGTTTAGTCAAGTTCTGGTGATGCCCATCCTCCCTGTTGGACAAAAGATGTTTCTTCAGAGTTAAAAAGTTTTACTGAAACTGGTTATTGAGCCATTTTTCCAGTAATTGAATGCTTTGCTTTTTTTAAATATTATTTTATTATGATCCCCTTCTCTCATGAAACAAGGTATATTAATAAGCTTTTTCTAATTTATTTCCATCTCTTTGATTATGTAGGGTCCAGGCCACAGTATTTCAGAATAATAAAAGCTCTCCTGAATCACACAGATGATGAAAGATTTTTGTTAGCAGGAGAAAGCCTGTGTCACTGTTTTGGTCCCTGGGAGGGAGAAAGCCCTGCTTTGAAATGATGCCCATCTGTGTCTGTGGCCCTTACTCAAATCACATCCTAGTGACAGACTGAGATCACTCCAGGGCAGTTTTCCATGCTTGGGGCTGTCCATCTGTGTCTGTTTTACCTGTCAGCTTTCATGGTTGTCCCTGGGATGGGGAGAGAGGTGGTGCAGGACAGTATCTCCTGTGGTAACAATATAGTTCAGAAGAGACAGACAGACACAGCTTTCTCTAAGCCTCTGGTTTTCTCTTGTGCTTGGGATTTTCCCTCCTGACTCTTTCTCATACAATTTGTATGACAGGAAATGGCTCCGGTTCTTATGAATTACTTTTCCCACAATAGACATGTTGTCCCTGCTGGTCTCCAAATCACTTACCTTGCCCATGACCCGTGTGAGTGCTGTCACTTGAGCAGCCTCACTCCAGAGACACTGCCAGCTTTTGAGAGGCAGAGGCAGCTCTGGGTCTCCAAAGTGGCCCTTTGCTCTTTACCTCTGCATCTGGAGAGGAGGCTGGATGTAATTCCAGAACCAGCACTGGTATGTCCTTCTCCTCCTGTGATGAGCTGTGTCTCTGGGCTTTTGTAAAATGGGGGGCAGAGAGGCATTGTGACTGAAGCAGAGGAGTTTCTCTTTCCCCAGCATATCACAGCTCTGCTGTGTTACCCATACTGTACCTTATCTCTTCTCTGAGCAAGCTCTGAAACTAATGAAAGCCTGGCACTGAAACTAATGAAAGCCTGGCACTGACTGTGCCCTTGTCAGAGCTGTAGGCAGGCAGGGGTGTGCTCCTGGGCTGGCTGCTCTGCCACCTCCAAGGAGGAGCTCTGGGCTCCTGCTCCAGGGCCTTGCTCCCAGGAGATCTCTGGTTACGTGCTGGGCTCAACCTGTGTGCCCACTCTCGTTATGTCGTGCGTGTTCTCTTACCTGACAGTAATGGGAAGGTGAGATTCTTTTATTTTGAGTTCATGAGGTTCTTGCTTTTCTCACAAGGTTGGGTTATCATTAGCCAACTTCAGCCTCATTGATGAAGAGTGTGTGTTTGGGTAGAAGAGAGAAGTCCAATTTTAACAAGAGCATGAGAAAAAAACAAGCAGAGCTCAGCTACTTCACTCTGGGGCAGCAGTTGGGTACTTTTAAGTGTGTTTATATCTTCCTGCCATCTGCAACATACACTATATTGAGTTCTGGAGGATTTCCAGGAAGGTGATGGGGTGCTGGTAGGAGAGTATGAGGCATACACAGCTGCAGCCAGGCTCTGTTGAATTCCTTGTGTGACTTTCCCCCACTTCCCCTCTTCTTACAGGTACGAGAGATAAATCGGGGCGTGCAGTGGCCATAATAACGACAAGGAACACGGCCTGGCTGAACCCCCACTGCAACACCACTGAGCTCGTGCGCCTGCTCCTGTACCTGCACAGCATCCCGAGGTTTGTGACCCTGGGGGGTGCTCAGCTGCTGCCCTCCCTGCTCTGCCTTTTGGGGAGGTGGGAATTGGTGGAAGGGGTTCACTTGAGATTAGCTCGGTTGGTTAGAGCATGATGCTAATAACACCAAGGTTGTGGGTTTGATCCCTTTATGGGCCATTCACTTAAGAGCTGGACTCAATGATCCTTGTGTGTCCCTTCCAACTCAGAATATTCTGTGATTCTGTGACTTTATTGGCTTAGGAACGTGGTCCAGACAGTCCCAGAACAGGTGGGGATCTCCTGCTAGGGTGCACAGGCTTGTGTTCAGCAACCTCTGCCTGTTCTATATGTGCCTTGTGCACATGGTGTGATAGAATTGGTTATGTACTGAATGTTTTCGTGTGTTGCTGTGAATCCAAGCCATTCTTGCTATCCTTCATTAGCTCAGAAAATGGGATTTGGGAGCTATGATGGGGCAGTCATGCAGCAGCTCGGTGGTAGTGTTGTGACATGATATTTTAGGGCCAGGCCTCCAAGCTGAGAGGGAGGGAGGATCTGCAAGGGTTGAGAAAATCTGCCTTGATGTCTGTCTGAAAATTTATTTTGGAGTCTACAGGCTGGGGTTTGCTGCAGCTGCTCTTCCTTTCACTGTGACAGACTCTTCCTTCACTGCTCATCACTTTGTTTCCCTTTTAGATGATTAAATAGTAAGAGGTAAAGCTAACTCTCTGATAGTGATTTTTTTTTTTATGAAGGCTTTAAACCATTGGTAAAGGGAGCAGGCTTAACCCACGAGAAAGCTTCTGCTACTCATGCTTTTGTTTGTTATGCTTCTCCCTTCAAATCTGATTCTGGGCAAGACAGGCTTTGGGTCAGTTCCAGACTGGCTGCTCTTGTGAAGCAGTGAGGCTAAAACAAAGTTTGTCCCTGAACACAATTAGGAAGGACAGGTTTTCCTGTGTGGATTATCCAGAGTGGGTATCAACACCTTTGCTATCAGTGACATGTATTCTAGGAATTGGAGAAATGGGAAGTTGGGTGGAAATCACAGAATCCTGTAGCAGAGGTCAGAACTGAGCAATCCAGTGGTGGTTTCCATATATATATTGGTTAGGAGAAGGTGGCCAGTTAGTTCCCTGTCCTCACAAAGCCACAATGTACTGGTTTTTTTCACCCTGCCATGACTATGTGTTCTGTTTCCATAATCTTGTTGATTTTCATTGGTGACAAAGGTGACCTTTTTGTCTTTGTCCTTGCAGACCAGAGTGTCAGGCTTTGGGCCTGACTGTTCTTGTGGATGCTCGTCGCTGTTCCCCGGTTCCTGCTCTCTTCAAGGCGTTCAGCATATTGCAGGTGAGCCTTGAGCTTGGGCAGAGCAACCCTGGCTGGCTCGTGTGCTTGGATGGGACATCTCCATCTGCTGCTTTTGTCTCCATCTGGCACCTGGCTTCCCTTTGGCTTTGGGAGGTGGAGTTACCCGCCCAGCCCTGCTTTAGGAGGATGACCTGCCCTTACCAGGCTGCAGACAAAGCAAAAAAACCCAAAGCAAGTCTGAGTTAGGGGAGAACACCTCTCCCCATCCCTGCAAATTTACTTTCATCTCAGTGCTGAGAACAGCTGTACCCAAGTCTAAACGCTGTCAGGAATTATCCTGCTTGGAGATGTCCCCTGCACTGAGAGGCTGTGTGAGATGTGCAGGGATTTTTGCCTGCCACAGAGAAGGGAGGAAGAGAGGCCTCTGCCTGCTGCCTTGGGAAGGGAAGGACACTGCTTGCCATGCCAGGTGGAAAAGCACATGCAGCTGTTGATGTAGCTGTCGGTGAATGATTGGAATCGGACGTGCTGTAACTCTATATTGCTTCAGGTCAAAGGCTTTCATATCAGTCACTTGGAAAGCCAGTGGGTTGTGTTGCCCCCGCTCCCAGATAGAAGCTGTCTGCTCTGTTGGAAAGCCAGGGAGCTGCTGGGTTGTAGTGATGACTAATCTTGTTTAAGCAGGTGTTCCTCTTAAATCAGAGCTCAGGTCTCTTAGGACTCAAACTCTGCAAACTGGAACAGGGCAATGTTGTAATGAAGCTGATGTCTGTGGTTTATGTGCTTCAGTGCCACATCTGAGAGTTGGGTCTGAGTCAGAGGTCTGTCCTCCTGCTTCCTGGGCTGGGTGGAGCTGTGAGCTCTATCAGCGTCCTCATTCTCTGTGGTGAAGGAGTAATCTGGTGCCCTGCTCAGTTCTGCAGAGGTAACAAACAAGTATGTTCTCTTTTATGCTGTGCCCACATGGCAGTGGGCTTGCTAAAGCTTTTGAGGGTTTCACTGCCCATGTAAATTGCATGGTGGTCTTAGTGGGATGATCTGGAAATCAGCAACATGTTCTGGCTGTCCCCACTCTCATACAAGCATGGTAATAGTGCCATTTTAACCTGAAGTTTCCCTCCTAAAATGAGGGAGGGGAAGCTTTTTGCAGCACCTCTGAAATATCCTGCTGTGATGGCTGTTTGGCTCTGAGCACCTCCGTATCAGGGTGGTGCAACAGTTAGTTAACAGAGATTAATGTACTGCAAGACAGATTGCTGGACCTCAGTGTGTGCTTCAGGTAACAGTGACTGACAGAGGCTGATTACTCTGCTTATAGTTTTTTGAATCTTATGCTGAGTCTTCTGAAGACTCCTTAAAGGAGACCCCTTTGGGTAACTTATTACCTGGTTATGGCAAGAAGTAATACCTGGCTTCTCTGAGCCTTTTGGAGATCCTCAGCGTTTGCTCTGTAATCCCATGGCAATATTCTCCTCTGCTCTGAAACAAGGATAGAGTAATACAGAAAACTGAGTGTAACTGCAGTGATGCAGGCTAAGTGTTGCAGAGTGCAGCAGGGTTTGCTGGCCAGTGGCTGCAGAACCACAGACTGTATGTTATACTTCTAAGGTCACAGAACAGGTCATCTCCTTGAGGTCCTTTCTGAAATCCCTGACACATCTCAGTGTCTCTTACCTCTGGCAGACTGTCTGGAGCTCATTTTTCTGCTGTCCTGCACTCCACTGAAACAGGAGTTTACTTACATGGTTTTTGTGAAGCCTGTTTGATAACGTGGTAGAATCTGTTAAATGCTGAAGTCCAGTGTTGCTTGTTAAATTCCCAAGGGTTGTTTTCCTCTTGACCCAGCAGTGGGAAGTACTGCTTCACAGTGGTTAAGCACAGATCAGATGCCCTAATGCAGAGTCCTTTCCTGGTGCAGTGCAGGATCTGAGTCTGTTAAACCTAGAGAGACTCCTGGGGAGTGAAGACTGATCCTGGGGAGCAGAGGTTCCTGGGTCAGGATCTGTCAGTCTGAGGAAATCCTTCTTCCACTTTACCATCTATGCAGAATGAATGCACGACTGGAATTAAGTGCCAATAGACAGCTTTTGGTGCTTTCAGGTTAGTTTTCCCTACAGCACTGGGGGCGTGTTCATTGCTCTGCCTGGACCCACCTGGTAAACTCGTGGAAGCTTGTCCTCTCTGCCTTGCAGTTACATTCTGCAAGACTTTTTTTCCCCTCTTCCTTTTCAGAGTATTGGGTAGCTGGGAAGTCTTTCTGTCCCAGACAGCAGTGGGAGCAGAGGGAGCAGGGGCTGAATAAAGAGCTGCTGCAGAACTAACTCAGGAAGAAGCTGGAGGAACTCTGGCAGCTCTGTATGGAGGTGAAGGGAAATGCACAGTGTGGCCACGCTGCAAGAATAGATCCCTCTTGTTCCTGTGGGAAACTGCGTCATGATGCTTTGGAGCAAGGAATTTTGCAGAGGTGACTGCCGTGATGTTTGGTCACACAGTGTCACCAGCAAGCTCTGTGCTGGGGGGCCTGATCAGAGGAGCTTTACTGCTCAGTGGTGCTGGGCTGAACCCTTGCTCAGTGAGCAGGCAGGGCATGGACAGTGGCACGTGTGCACTGGCCTTCAGTGAGCAGGTGTCTGTGGGATTTCCCTCTGCCCGAGTCTTTATAGAGGGAGATTTTTTTGAATTTCACAAATCAGGGCGAATACTTAGTCCTGTAATGTTCTGTATCAGTGTGTTGGGTTGGGAAGAGTCAGTTTAGCATTTGAAAACAGAAAAGCTCTGTGCAAACCTTTCTGTTCAAGAGTTATTTCCATTCGAATTCCCACTCGCTGTAGAAGTACAGAGGACTTCTGTAGAGTGGTCACTGAGATGGACTGGGGTATGTGGGCACTCTCCCCTCTGCACAGACATTCCTGTCAGCCCTGGCTTCAGACTGTGCCAGGTAAGTCTGGCTATGGGCTTCCAATTGGAGCAGGAAGCCAGAAGACTGAAACTTCAGTCTAGGAAGCATTGAAGAAAGTATCTAATTCTCTGTCTAAAGAATAATAACAAAGGGATGGCTGTTTACCCTGGTGCTTTCTGAGCTCCTGTTGGTGCCCCTCTATTCTACCCTGTCCACATTTGTACCTGCTTTGGGAGGTGAGGAGGTCACTTATATGTGGGGAACTCTGTTTCTTTGCTTCCAAATAGCTGGCTTTGTTAGCAAAAGTGGTAAGAGATTGTGCAGAAAGCTGCAAGAAAGCTTCCTCAGGTAGCATCCTGCTGTTTCCAGCTCTGCCTGTCTCCTGAGGCACTTCTGTAACTGTTTCAGTCTTTGGATTGCTCCATCAGTGCTGTTCATCTTCCCTCAGCTGCTTAAATTAAAAAAATATGGTGAAAAATACTTGATTTCTTTGGAAATGCAGCTTCTTGGATTGGAAAACTGTGAACTTCTCCCCTGACAGCTTTATTTATGAATGGTTTTTCAGTTTCTATTTTTAGTTTCTATTTCAGAACAAACAAACAAGTGAGTGTTTTGGCTGTTTTGGTAACCTCTTGTTACACCATCTCTACCTTTATCCCTCATCTCATGACTGTTGGAGTGGAAGAGGGATTGTGTAAGAATAAATTGTTTAGTACCATCATTTGTCTTGAAGCTGTGTCTAGTCTTCAGCCCTTGGTACTTTCTAGCAGATAAATTCAGAGCTGCTGATACAGCTGTAATATCATCTCCCCATCCTCTCTTCAGATGACCTTCAGTATTTACCTAATGCAGCCTAATTATGCAATAAATTCTTTTTGGCCTTTTGATCAGTGTTTGAATAACAGTGAAAGTGTGAATAAGTACCTTTGGAGAAAGGGATTTGAGAAGAATTAGAAACCTCTCACAGTTTTGGAAGATGTTTCAGCTGGGCTTTTTTCCTCCCTGTTTGAAAGGATCATGTTTTAGGACTGGATGAGAGAAAGGTCTTTTTGCTCTGTTCTGGAATCTCTGCTGCTGTTTTCACTTGCAGAACCGGGGCTCCTTGTGTTGGCATTGTTTCTTAATTGCTGAACAGGGCCCAGTGTCATGTTAGGTGGCTCAGTCTCTGCTGGTCCACTTGCCTCTCTACTCTGGCTCTGCTGTTCCTGGCAGATATTTGAGCCTACACACGGCTGGAGCTGTTTATTTAAACAGGTTCCCTTTGCTGTCATGGGCTGCTCTGTGGCAGTTTCTTTGCAGCTTGGGCAGTACTACTAAGGATTTGTTGCTTGACAAAGATTCAAGTTCCTGAGATCCTTGCAGACACAAAGACCATGTTGGAGACATCCAAATGGGATGGCTCTTGTTTAACCATGTGGCTCTTCTCTTTGCTTTCCTGGTCCAGGCATCACATATGTGGTGAGCCCTCTCTCCATGGTCTGGATCTTTCTGCCACGTTTCCTTCTTCCTGTCGCTCCCTGCGCCCGTTTCTCACTTCCATGTAGAGGGTTTCTATAATTGCAGAGCTGTTCCTGGATCACTGAGTTTGAACTGCAGCTGCCAGACACCCCTTGTATTTGGGATTTCTGTCTACTGTTTAACAGTAGAAACAGGATGCAAGTACTTGATTGTAAGTTGGCAGTAAGTAAAGACAAGACGACCTCTTTGACACTGTGGGGTTTAAAAAAAACAAACAGCTTCCTTTCGGTTAGGTGAGGTGACCAGGAAAGTTACCAAGAAAAAACTCGGACACTGAACACGGTTTTTGGGTTTGATTTTTTTTTTGTTTTGTTTATTTTAACCCTGACACACTTCCCTGTGTAGAAGGCAGAGTTCTTTTAGTGCAGCCAAGACCTGACCTCTTCCATTGCTTCCTTAAATATTGCAGGACTAGTTGATCTGAAACAAACTACCTTAAGGACATCACCTTGGTGCTCTGTAGACTGGCCGTCCCTAATTCCTGCTGACTGCCTTCTGGGCTTCCTAGATGCCTTTGAAGGATAAATTGCAATCTGGTGTAGGAACTTGGTATGGTACATCCTCCTTAGTATCCCAGACAGTTCAGTAATGGATTTGTGCTCTGCTCTGTTGTAGGACATGGATCCTCCTTGCATTCATGGGGTACTGCTTCTGGTTGAAAGAGATCTGACTTTTCGGATGGAGAAGCCACCAGCAAGACAGGTAATGGAACCTGGGGGTTTGCTGGGCAGCCCATGATATCCTTTATTTAACTCTCCAAACAGTGAGTTCTCTGTGGTTGGTATCATGTTTATTCTCACATGAAATCTCTGTAGCTGTTCTCTGTGTTTTATGGTTGTGGTCTCTTGCAGGTGTGGTATTTATGGGGTTGTAATGTTTATGGGAGCTGAACAGATCTCTCATGCTCTGTTTATTGCCGAGTCCATCAGTGACATTTGCACATAATTGTGTCAGTCTGCTGGGGCCCTCAGGATGAGGGGTTTTGCTGGGAACATGGATAGCTGTGGGGAGGAGCCCTGCACAATTAACAGCACTAGTAATGCTTTTCATGCCAGTAACAAGGGGGGAAATCCTTGGTTAGGAAGAGATCACATTAGGCTAAATCCTGAACTCCCCCTTTGAAGGTTCTTGTTGCCTTCCTGGATTTTGCACATCTCCTGTTTCCTCTCCTCAAATGTGCTGCTGTCAGTGGCTGAGAGATTCTGCAAGAAGGTTAAGAGGAGATGGGCATTTGTTTGAAGTTCCCTTTGCTGAAATGTCTGAGAAGACTAACAGGAGGGAAAGTTATCACAACATCAGTGAATTCCCCCCACTAGAAGTAAAACTGCCTTGGTATGCCATAGCTGTATAAGAAATGTAGGCTCCCATCCACTCTGTGGTGAGTGAATAGATATCAGACTGCATCCTGGTCCTCCCTCTGCTCTTAAGACTCTTGCAAGAGACAAGATTGGACTGAAATTCTGTGCCTGCTGAAACCCTGAAGGCTTCAGAGCAGGCCAGTACCTCCCTTTTGGCTCCTGTGGATGAAGAGGTTGTGACAGGCATCAGGCTTGCTGTGTGTGTGGTGTAGTGTCCCAAAAGGCTAAAGAATAACAAATGCTATTAGTCCATTTCCTCATTGCCCCTTGTGGAAGAATTTGAAGTCAGAATGGACTGACTGCAGGCATGTGCATGCAGAGAGAGTCACAGAAGACATTAAACACCCTGAACAAATACAAAGAGTGTAGGAGGGAACAGAGGAAAGGCTAATAAAGACCCGGGCATGCAGGAGGAATTGGAAGCATCATCACTATTTTGTAAGGAGGTGGAAACTCCACAGTGTGTGTGGGGGAATTAAATGTCTGCACCTGAGTTTGTGTCTGGGCTGGCTTCCATGTACCTGCAGGAGCACTTGTTGCTCTAGTGAGGATAAAAATCCTCTGAGGTCCTACAGACTTGCAGAAGGCAAGTTATCTGTGTCAAGATCCATGGAACTCCTGTAGCAAATAGCTGCTGAGTGGAGAGTTGAGGGCAGGGCAGAGACTGCTCTGTTAGACTGTTTTTCCAGGAAGTGAGATGGGGAAGCTGGGGGCTGGATTTAACCTCCCAGACTCTCCAAACAAATGCAAATCGCAGCACAATGTGGGAACATGTGAGGGAGTTGCTGTGCTTACACCAGGAGGTACTGGCTCTGGAGAAGGCTGGCTGCTGCCAGACTTCCATCACAGATGTTCTGCCTGGTGGAACAGCGTGTTGTGGCCTGCATTCCTTCAGGGTTCGCCCACTGAGCTGTTCAACAAGCTGCTCTAAGATTGAATTGATTTTTTTTTCTCCTTCATATTGTAGTGATATTGTAGATATACACTGTGTGTCGTGTTTCTGTGCAAGATAGATAAAGAAATGAAGGATTCTGTCTTTTGTTAACCTTCCCCTCCTCCTCCAATACTCACACTCTAAAGCAAGCCTGCTTTTTTTTTTTTTCCCTTCTATTCCTGTGCAGTTTGAACTCCTCACCTCCATGAAATCCCTCCATAAGCACATAGAGAGCTCACAGCTGCCTCTGGAACTGGATGGGACCTTCCCTTACTGCCACTGGGACTGGCTGAGCTTCCGCATGGTGAGTGGGTGTCGTGTGTGCTTTGGCATCTGAAGGAGCAATGGCACAGGAACAGAGTGCAAGCAAGAGGAACCTGTCAACAGCATTAAAAGACAATGTTCCTGTAACAGTTATGTTTTCAAATGAATCTCTGTTATCAAAAGAATGCTAATACTGTCTTCATAAAATGGGTGCGCACTACTGGCGTGACTGCAGGAAGTAAAATGTTAGTTTTCACCTCATCTGCTTGAACTGCATTAATTCTTCCTTCCCTTCAAGATATGGTCAAATCTGAAATGGAATCCTGTTTTGTTTCATACAGAGTGGCTCTTCAGTTAGAGGATTGAGAACATACATTTCTTAAACTAATCTCAGGAGAAGGTGTTGGTGTTGTGTTTCCATTGAACTAACAATCAAGATTTCGAGCATAATAAAAATAGTTAAGTCTTTTTGGTTTTGGAACAAGTTCCCCAGATCAAGCTAAGAGCCTCATAGGAAAACTGCAGTCCTTGCAGGAGTGAGACTTAGAAGTTCCTGATAATCAGTTCAGAATTCCTTTAGGAATATCTTTCACTTCCATGCAGCAGGGTATGTGCAGACTGCCAGAAATCTGCATCTGTGGCACCAGTGCCCAGCTCTGTGTGTGCTTGTGCTGTGGAGGGAGCCTGAGTGCTGTGGACTCACGTGCTGTTTGAATCTTTGAAAACTATATTGAGAGTTAGGAGTTATTTGGCATGCTGAGACTAGACAGGATTAAATCTCTGTAAATCTGCACACAAGCTGGCTGTCTTCACAGTGAGTTTGACTTGCTCACCCTGGTGGATGACAGAATTGTCACCTCAGCTTCCAGAGGATCCAGTGGTCTTTTGGCTCCGACCTCGCTGCCCAGAGTGCTGCATGGCACAGTGCAGAAGGAGATTAAGATGTCATTGATAAAACCACTGTGGTGCTGGTAGGAGGCTTCAGCAGTTAGCCTTGGCATGTGGCAAATGTTAACTTATCTTTTCCAACTTATTTTAGAACCCAGTTTTGAAACTTTCATCTAAAAATACTAGGATGGACCCATGCTGATGCAGAGGTACAGAAGCCTGATCTTGGTGCCTGGGATTGAATTCGAGATGCTGAAGTTTATTTGGCAGTGAGGAAGCAGAGGAACTTTGCAAGAGGTTATGGGTTAATTTTTCTGGACAGAGTTGAGAATACCTCAAGAGCTGAGGTGCTCTGTGTGTGCAAGGAGGGTAATTCTTGAGGGAAGGAGCATGATATCAAACTACTCCTTGTTTGTGTCTTACATCTTAACATGTAAAATGTTACCAAAGGGAGTTAATATGGGAGTTGGTTTGTGTGGATTGCCTGTCTGTGCTGTGTGTGATAATGACCCACGTGCTCAGCTCCTTTAGCTCTGCAGCTATGTGGCAAATAGCATTTATTTCCTGTCTCAGTGATCTCACCTGCATCCTGCCTGCTAATCTGTCACTGCTGGGGCTGTTCCAGCACTCCGGGGAGGAGGGAGTTCGGTTCAGTACAGATTCAAACAGCTGCCTTTTTGTTTTGTTTTGAGCACGGTTATTTTGGAATAGCTGTTTCTCCCTTCTCTGATTCTGGTGACTAAAGGGTGGCATCTGACAATACTTAGGCTTCATATCTCCAACTTTCCTAAAAAATAATGTCTCATCAACTCTTATGAAAAGTTAGGTCTTTTTTTGTTTGTTTGTTTTTCTCTCCCCTTCCCCCCACTCAAAGAAAGGAAGGATTTCAGATTTGTCCATAGCTTAAGGTGCTTAATTTTGGAAGCTTTCCAGTTTCCTGTTCTTTAATTTACACTGCTTTTAACACGAAGGGGAGTGATTTAAAGTACAAAAATTCCAAGTACTTGTTTTATGTTTTGTTTCTCCAAAATTCATGCATAGTGATTCATCTTCATGGGAAGTTACAAGAAATGCTAATAGTAGAAGAATGTGGGACATAAGTGGACTGATTGCTGTAAAGCATGGCCCATGCAAGCACGAGTATGCAAGTTTATAAAGTCTGCATAGAGGCCTTGGGGGTGGTGTGATGGGCCTCTCTCTGCTGGTTGAGCCTCACCAGATGGTATAATTGAACCCTTGGGTTAATGTGTTTGATTCTCTCTTGGTTTTTGTACTTTTAACCCTCTGCAAGCTCAAAACACACCTTTCCTGTCAGCCGTGAGACATTAATCTCTGCCTTGGTCCTTTCTTCTCATAGAAGCTGGAACACTTGCTACAAGGATGCCAAGGTGCTTGTGCCTTCCTTCAGGGAGCTATTCATAAAGTGGAATCTGGGAAATTACCAGAAAAAGCTGAGGTAAGCCTGTCCCTCACCTGTCATCAGAGGTGGGCCTGAGAGAGAAGAGAGCAGGATAGCTCAGGAAAGCTGCAGAAAAGCTGTAGCTTTGAATTTGCAAGCTGTAGTAGCAGGATATTCCAAGTGCTGCATGTCACTGAGGAGCTGGTAGGACAGTGGGACTGGTAGGAGCCGGTCCAAATGAAGTGGTAGAAGCTTCAGTGGCTCATTGATCCTTCAGTGTCACCCAGGAGATCTCTCTCCAGCTGGGCTTGTTGCTAATGGGTGCTGGCTCCAGCACTGGAGTGCATTTTCAGCAGCTCCACAGCTCTGTAGCTACCACGAGCTTTGGTGTGCCCAGGGCAGAGCAGCTGCCTCAGGCTGTGCCACACCAGGTCGGAATGGCCTGGAATAAAGTTAGGAATGACAGCACAGTTCTGTGTGTGGTTCCAACTTTGCTGCCTCCAGAACAGAAGTCTGGGAGTGGGCTGGAAGAGGGGGAAGGTACAAGCACCAAGCCTGTGTTGTCACAAACGTTCTCTTCCCCCTCTTGAGAAGCTGCTGTACCCCTGACGTGGTAGGACATTGCTGCCAGCTCTGCACCGAGGGTCCCAGCAGTAAATCAAGGGAGGATATCCTTCTACATCCATCTTGTCCCAAGGCTTGAAGCCATGCAGGTCTAGACTCTCAGAACAGTAGGAGCTAGCTGTGAGAGGAAGATGAGGCTGAATTCCTTCTGTGCACAGCAAATGAATGGAACAACAATGATGGGAATTGGGTCACAATTTTAGCCTGGTGGAGAAAGTATCGGGAGTGTAAGGAGCGCTGTTTATCACTTGAGACTTGGCAGGCTTGAGAGAAACAGCTGTGGGAACCAGCCTCCCCCTTTGCTGGGGTGGGCCCAGGTGAGATGTGGTTTGGGTGTGTTTTGGGTTGGGTGCTGGTTTTTGCCTGTTCCCTCATTGCCTGTAGGTTGCAGTAACTGCTCATCTCGCTCTTGTGATCCCTCCAGGATGCAGCTGTGCTGCTCAGGACCTACAGGCAGTTGATGAAGAACGTTCTTGAAGACACACGGCTGGTCAGGCTGCAGCTGGAGGGTGGAGCACTCCTGGCCAGGCTGAGGAAGGAGGAGTCTTGTGTCACCCTCACCCATGACTACAGGTGAGCCCCAGAGTGGGAGGAGATGAGCAAAAAGCAGGCACTGTGAATCTCCCCGAGATGCCCCTTCATTGCTGGAGGCTAGAGAGCAGCTTTGTGTAGTGAGGAATTATGTTGAAAACAGCAAAGGTGATAAATGTAGGTTTACTTTTATCCTGGCTGTTTCATCCCTAGTCCAAAAACTAGTCTGGGTGGATTCACTTAGGTGGTTAAACTTCCTTTTTTAAGCCAAATCAGACTTATCTTCAGTAGTGGAGAGAGAGCTGGATATTTTGTGCACCTCTGAAACACAAGCCTTAATTGGTGATGCCAGTGATGAATGTTTAGGTCCAGGGCATTATCACTGTGATTTCCCAAGGCACTCCTTATGCAAGGGGATTTCCAAGGACCTTAACTGTGAGGAATGCTTTCTGGCTGCAGCAAGGCTCTGATCTCCTCACACATTGGTACTGGTTTGCACAAACAAATAGTCACTGCCCATTTGCAGGGTTGGTATGAGGAGCAGGGGCTGAGAGAGCCCAGCTGTTTGACATCCCCGGGGCATTGCACAACTCCTGTTTGTACTGCTAGAACACCTGAAGCCTATCAGCCTGTGAAGGCCTCTGTGCTATGTGCTGTGCAAACAACAAGGTAGAAAGGCAGCCTTTGCTCCCAGGAGCTTCCAGCCCCAGTGTGAGATAAGCCCTGGCATGTGGGTGCAGATGAGGGCGCAGCGGATGGCGGGGTGCTGTGGAATGGCTCTTGGCTCCCTACATCTGCAGCCCTGCTCTGCTCAAACTCCCTGTTGCCATCACAAGCTGGGAGGTTTGAAGGGAGGGAATGGAGAGAAGATAACAAAATAGTTATGGAGTATTATCACCCAAACACTGGGAAAAGAAAAACGTCTCTCTTTGAAAATTCAGCGAGTGACAGTGCAAATTGCTGCCCGTCACTGGGAGAAGGGGGCTGACATTTTGGTGCTGAGAGGGGAGTGTGGGGACAGGCTGTGTAACTGTTTCTGTTCCCTGCTTGCTGTGACTGCTGTCAGCAGCTCTGGCAGGCTGTGCAGACAGTTGTCTTGCTGAACTGGCGAAGTAATCTTGATGCAATTTTGGATTGAATTAGTACAGTACAGTCTTTTCATTCTCACATGACATGAGAAGCACAATAATGCGAGTTTTTGTGTTCTGTTTAGTTTTTTTTATTTATTTTATTTTAAGCAACACACAGCAACTTTAGAGTCCTAGGAGACTAGGGAGAACATGCATGGGTTTTATGTTTTGTTTTGGTTTTAAGCTGAGCCTGTGTTCTTGTGCAGGGAAATGATCAACTTTGAAACCTGATCTGGCAGAGCCCCTAAGGATAATTTACTGCTTTGATTACCTTAGCAAGGGCAGGGGTGGGGGATACACACAGAATTCTTTGATTGTACAGTGTTTGAGTGCATGCCGAGGCTGTGTAGCTTGTTCTCTGCTTCATTCAAGAAATATTCATTGCCTGCCTGGATGAGAGGAGACTTCATGCCATGGCTCAAATATATGTGGCTCTCTCCAGCCTGAGGAGCATAAATGAATACAGCAGGAGAAAGTTAGTCCTCTTCTAGCCTGTGGAGTAGTTGTAGAAATTAAAATCCATACAGTATCTTTATTGAGGAAATGCCTGCTTTTCATCCAGCTCGGGACAGAGGACTAAATAAATCCACTCTTCCTTGTTCCAGGATCCTTTCAAATGGGGAAAAAAGCTCTATCACTTGGCTAGAGAACTCTGTATGAGGCACTTTTGGTTTTGGGGCTTCCATGGCTCTGCACTTGCTCCTTCTTTCCAATCTGGCATGCAGATACTAAAGGTTCTGAGCTCTGCTAACCCTGTAAAGGCTCCTTTGGTTATGATTTTCAAAGGCTTCTGTAACAGATACGATCAAAGCAGGGGAGGGACAAAATACTGTAGTTGGCCTACTAAGCTGGCATGGAGAAGATACTGATGTGTATCTGTGGGTCCAGTGTTCGATTTCTAACTGGTGGTGTCTGAAAATGGAACAGGACTTTGTGTGTGCACTCGGCAGGGCCTGTGGTACTGCTGTTCTGAACTTTGAATTGTAAAATCTCAATCAGTTCTTAAAGCTTAATTCCACACCCACTCTCCCAGTACTTGAAATCAAATTATTTACGGAAGCAAGTCCAATGGCTTTACTCTTCTGAGCCACCTTTTGGCTCTCGTTTCTGTCACGTGTCTCATTGTTCTTTATTCTCTCTTGTGGTGCAAAAGTCTGATAAAACAGGGAGTCATGACTGCCAGGACTTCTTAGTCCTAAACTGAGGCCAACTGTGTGAACAGGTAACTGTCCGAATGTGAGAGAATTACATGTAAATAGAGGAAACAATTTTAAGAGCAATTTTCTGGACTCTTGCCTCCACTTAATTAAAATAGGCCATCCAGAAGTGGAGAAATAAAGGTAAAATTGTAGCACCAGAGCAGTGGCTTTGTCAAGTTCCTCAACTTTTGGTCAACTCACAACGTGAGTCTTCTTACTTCTTTCTCCACCAAGTACCACTGTAAAATACAGCCTTGCCCATCCAGCTCCTTATCCACAAAGGAAAAGACAGACTTCTCCAAGCAGTTTTTCTGGATCTCTGCCTTTTCCCAGCTTAACAAGGAGGAGCTCAGTCACCAGAATACACATCCTGCAGGCAGCTCATAGCAGAGAGTTGGCTCAGGGGATGTGGTGTGCTCAGATGGTCCCTCTCTGCTCTCCCGCCTCCAGGAGTGGGAGTTTGCCCTGGAGTTGGTGTGGGTGTGGCACTGATGAGCCAAGTGTCCTTGTGGCACCTCTTTAAGTGCTGCAGTGACAGCTTCAGCACGGGCTGGCCACCTTGGAGGTGGCATTGCCACTTCTTCACTGTTGGTGGAGCTGGTTGGATTTAAAGCCAGCACATTTACCTTCACACCATCTGCTGTGCTGAGGGCTCGGGGCTCCTCCAGGTCTATTGGCTGAACTTGTAGAGGTTTTGCTGCCCCAGACCCTCTGGGGATTGCAGTGCAGAGCTGTTAGCCTAGCTGAAGTTCTGTTGGTGAGTGTGGACAAATGCCATGGAGACCTCCATCACTTCAGTGCTATTAGTACTTCTTTTTGCACTTGCAAACAGGAAACTTTTAACTACCACAGTCTTTTTAATAAGGAACATAGAGTTGGTTAGCAGGTGTAGCTTTGGCTTCTGGCTATCTGGTGTAGTGATCAACTAACCTGTAGCTTTCAGGCAACTCACTGAGCCAGCTGTGGAAGGTGGACTAATGCACTGCTGCTTTTGTGGTGGATTTAGAAGACTTATGTCTTATGATGGAGGTATGAGAGAAGCTGCCAGAAGTCAGGCAGCAGCCATGGGAGCTCTTGCTAAAGTGAGGCAGCCACGTGGGGCTGGGCAGCAAGGCAAGGAGACTTTTGACCTGGTCTTTAGCCAGACATTTTGCACTGTTGTTCTCATTATTGCTGATCTTCCAGCGTAGCCAAGAGCAGGGAATGTGTGCCCAGACAAAGTGTCCAGTGGTGCCTTTCGTCCTGCAGGTACGCTGTGAGTCACAAGTGGAGTAAAGAAGGAATAAACATTTTATATTAATGCAATGATGGTTTATGCTAGTTAAACCAGGATACACCTGCCACATGCCTGGCTCTCCCAGAGAACCCATGTTCTCACTGTGGCATGGGAGTGGGATTGCATCATGCTCTGCATGGTGATGGACAAGATATCCCCAAGGCTGGAGGTGAGAGCTGAAAGAAAGAGAAAAACCTCAGTTGGTGAAGGAATGACCACGTTGAGTGCTTGGCTCTGTGCAACATGGAACCAGAAAAAGCATAACCTCTTCCCCCAAGCTCCTCATCTGAAAAGAATCTGTGCTTGCAAGCTGTGAATAAGCAGCTTATAAATAGATGGAGGAGAGAATTCTCCTTTGTTTGCAGTATAGTTAGTGTCTGTACTTTGAGGGTGGAGTGGTGAGAGGCAAGAGCTGGTTTTGTGAGCTGGCTATTTTTAGTGTGGCTTGGTGATCTGGTTGGAAGCCCTGGGTGGGGATCTGAGCAGAGGTAATGGACAGCACAGAGCAGAGTTCCTGAGTAGCAGCTGCCAGGTTCCTGATGCTGGACCTGACTCAATTACAGCAGCAAAGAGGATGGTCTTACAGCACAGTTCTTGTGCCTGTCTTCCACACACACTGTTGAGACACTGGGTGTGCTTGAAGCTGTGGCCAGTTTGTGATGCAGTGGGTTATAGCTGTGTGGTGTTGCACAGCTCATGTTTGTGGGTCTTCAGCAAGACTCCTGCAAGTAGCAACTCCTTGGATGCTACAAGGCTGGCACATGCTACTCTGCAGAGTGGTGTATGAGCTCCCTTTGGTGGAAGTACACCTGGATAATGTGCAGGCTCTCTGCCTCTTGCCAAGTAACTGCACAGCACCATCTGAAGCTCTGTCTGCCTGGGGTAGAGAAAGAAGAGACTAAGCTGATCATCCAAAATATGGGACAAGTTGGGAGCAAAGTTAGAGGTGTCTGGTGTGTGAGTCCCGGGTCTGGGCAGACTGGGGTGGCTGGGATTCATGGTTTGGAAGGTACAATGTGTGCACCTCCAAGCTGGCAGCTGGTGCCATAGGCTGGTGGTCACAGCCAGGCAGCTTACGCTGGGAAATCCTCTCTGGAGGCATCATTGTCTTCTGCCATCCCTTTTCTTCTTCTTCAGAGATGTGTGTCTCTGTGTGCTTCAGGAGATGGTGGTGCTTGTGTCACTCTCATTGATGCCAGTTTCTTGGTTCCACTTGCTCATCTTCAGCCTCTCTGGGAGCTTTGGGAGCCTCTCATGCTGCCACTCCTGACATGGTTTGCAAGAGGCACCTTGGCACATTGGTAGGTCCTTCAGATGTTCCTCCCATGGACCTAATCCTGAAACCTTCATCGTGGGACAAGCTCTCAGGATACCTTTGAAGTGAGATGGAAAAAAAAGGCGCTTAAATTCAGGCCTCAGAGATTGGCAGCTCTGCCC